GAAAAATATTGGGTTGCCCAGTAAGTTCGTGCCGCTTTATAAGGAAAATTGAAACCCTGTTCTCTTAAATTTTTGGAAATGTTTTTAAATTATATTGGTACGACTCTATACCTAAAACGTCTTTAATTATTGGATAAAATTTTAAAAATTAGTTTTTATCTCAACCAATGAAATGAAATTATTCACAATATAGAAATTTTTGTGACGTTTGATAATGGTGGAAATCAGAAAATGAATCCACTTCAACTACAGTCTATTGTAAGCTTTATATCGAAAATCAGAACGAACTTTCCGGACAACCTATAATGTTAATACAAAGTGTCAAATGAATGTAACAGAAGTAGTTTATTCCAAAGTGTATCACAAGTATATAGAGATAGAGTTCAATTTTGTCAAATGTACCGATATTTTTGCGCACCTTGACTGCTTCGTTACTTATGACGCTGTGGCTGCTACGATATTTATGAGCATCTTGCATGTACTCATATATTTGACGCTGTGTATGTACCGATGTATTTGAGCAGGGTGAATGTATCTATTATTTTGAGGACTTTTGTTGTACCGATATAATTGAATACTTTTGGTGTACCTATATATTTGCATATCTTGTCTGTGACGATCTATATGACGCTGACTGTACAATGTGTTTTTCGATTTCCGATTTATATATGTACATTTATCCGACGTTCTTACGGTGAAGGAAAACATCGTGATGCTGCACATATCTGAGAAGAAATTCAAAAAGTCAATAGCCTGATGGTTAAGGGTATGGACCTCGTGAGGTCGGGGGTTCGAATCCCGCCATTCGACTATTGTCGTAAACCATGTCTTAGCACAAGCCTAAAGCTTAGTTGGAACGGTAAAAATAAATATTAGTAAATATCTATAAAAATCTGCTAATATTTATATATAAAAAAAAAGTCAACCAACCCGCACTTGGCCAGCGTGGTTGACTATGGCCTAATCACCCTTAACTTAGGGTAGGCTCCGAGCCCCTCGCTGGGGACGTATAGACTTCTGACTTCTAGGTGTCTGCAGCCATCCACCTTATATTATAAAAAAAATAATTCAAAAAACAACATTACTCTTATCAGTCGGTCAATTTTACTTATAGATATTCGGTGTTGGACGCAAAAGCAACACAGAGCCGGTTGTTTGTATTCGTATAAGTTACAAGTACAACGGTGAGCCGGGATACTTCCACATGTTCCGATCTACATCGCTGCGTTTCTTCAATAATATGGCGGTTGTCATCAATACAAGAGATGAAATGATCGGTTAGTAATATAATATAAGACTAGCAGTTACCCGCGAAACCGTACGCGCGGTATAAAAAAAAACATAATTAGTAACCTATGTGTTCTAGACCAGTCTTTCTCAAAGTGGGCGATAACGCCCCCTTGTGGGCGCTGCAGGTCTCAAGGGGGTAAGAGACCCAGAAAGAAAATGGGGGCGTTGTGTAGAGGCCTGGGGGTGATTTTTAATTTTATTTCGCTAGGAGACCTCTTAGACGACTGCATGAGCTCTCGACTCTCAACAACTTGTGAAAAAATATTTATTCTCAAAGTGGGCAGTATATAAAATAAGTTTGGGAACCACTGATCTAGACTATGTTCTATATGTATGCCAATTTTCATAAAGATCCATTCAACCGTTCTGAAGATACTTTCAAACATCCATCCATCTAGACATTCGTATTTATAATATTAGTAATATTAATAAAAGCAATAAACAATATTTCAAAGCAAAAGTCACGAAAACCTACTAAGTAAACTAGATGGAGTTGTATTTAATATGTAAAATAAATCATTGGATATTTTTAAGTAGATATCGTAGTTCTCAAAATTGATATAATACCTACTTGGTAAAATAAAGATCTAACCGTGGGTTTCTGAGATCAAAATTAATCAGATTTTATACAAAGATGTTGGTTTCAGAAACCAGTAGTCAATTATTTAAAATGATTGTTTTTTTTTCTAGAATCGTTACATTCAATCTGCGAGTCAGTGATGGTAGCTCGTGACGTCGCTAAGCTGCCTCCTGTTCCATTCCATGATGGAGTCAAACTGGAGAAGAGGAAATCCAAGGTAAGACTTCTATGTCTGATACTTTCGCTTCGCGCAGAATAAAGACATCTTGATTAGCAGTCTATGTGTTCTTCCAGTCTATGTTCTACATCTATGACACATTTCAGAGCCAAAGTGCAGTCAATTCTGGAACCGAAATGACAAACATACATCCAAATTATCGCATTTATATTAGTAAGATTTAATTCGCTAAATGTTTTGTATTGTATGGAAATAAATTTTAAATTTGGTCCTTCGAGTCGGATATTGTCATATTGAATGATTTTCTTCAGATACACGGCGCGTCATCAGGCGGGGCTAGATCTGCGCTATATCTAGACGTATCTCGGTTGCCCTCACTCACACGCAATGTGAGCGAGACACAACTTGTCGCCGATATACGGAGCGTCGGTAAGAATCTTCATTTATATATACATCTGTGTATATTTTTACATATAACTAGGATTCTACCGACATTTTAGTTAATATCTTATAAGATACTAGCGGTCGCCCGCGATTCTGACCGCAGGGAATTTAAAAAAAAACTTAGTAGTCTGTCTTATTGTGTGTTCTTCCAGAATATGTTTTATATATATGCCAAATTTCAGCAAGATCCATGCAGCTGTTCTGAAGATACTTTCTAACCAAACTTTCTCATTTATAATATTAGGAGAGAATATTTTCCCTTGCCATGCATACATAATTGAAAAATCCACTTCCATTTACCAAGTTACTTATAAAAAAAAAGTGTTGGAAGGGAAAGAGACTGTTGCTTGTCACCTTATTAGAGGTGGTGATTGAAATATTTTGACGTAGAGAGGAGACAGTCGAGTTCTCTGACGGACGCGGTGCTTGAACAGATCATACGTATTGTGAGCGTTCGCACCGAGTGTCGCTACATACCGCAAGTTAACGGACAAGTGCATGACGCGGATCATACTGTTAGTTTGTTTTAATGTATTATGTGGTAGAGTGGTAGAGCCTGTATTAACATCTTCGCACGAATTGGCCAGGCTCGCCCGGTGAAATACCACGACCACACAGACAGGCGTCAAGTGGAAGCTATTCCAACTACAGTCTGATGAGTATTCGTCCCGGATGCCTTATTAAGTCCAATTTCCCTTCCCACCCTTTTTCTAATAAGGAAAGGATGGGAAGTGGAAGTGGACTTTTCGGATGAGAGGATGCATAGAAAGGGAAAATATTTTCTTTCTGTGCATCCTCTCCTCTGTCGATTAAAGTTAGGCAACGCATATGTCTATGGGAAATTTCAGGTGGCCGCTCGTTCGTTTGCCACCTTATTATATGAAAATAACTATATTAAAAGCCATCGTCCGTGACTCTGTCCGCAAGGAATTAAAAATATACAGTAGTCTACGTGTTCTTCCAGACTATGTTCTGTATGCCAAATTTCAACGAGATCTATGCTGCCGTTTTGGAGATACCTTTTGATCCACGCATCCATCCAAACATTCGCGTTTTTAATATTAGTAAGATTACTTACCTATGTAGAAAACATCTAAACTTTGTATTAATTTGTTCGGTCACTTCGAAACAGTACTAAATGTGATTTGATACGTTCATTAATCGTTCTCCTTTAGGTTTCTTTATTTGTGGTGGTAAATCTTTTTTTTTTTCATTTTTGGTATAAATTTATTCTATGTATATTGATTTATTTCAGGATCCAAAGCCTTGAACAATATGACTGAGCAATTCAGTAAACTGAACAAGTTAAGTCATTCACTTAACGCTAAAGCACGACCAAGTCTTCAGTTAAAGTTCGATCAAGGCGCATCACGTACTAAGAAAATATTCACAATCGGACAGAAAAACGATAAGAAGAAAGGAAGTCTCTCTGATGGGTTAAGTTCTGATTACTCTTCAGACGATGAAAACAGAACGAACATATTTGAACCTACATTAGACAATTTCGAAAATACACAACATTATATAGGTAACAAATCAACAGAAGAGAAAAATGAAACCGAAAACGATTGTGAGCTTATACAAAATCCTTTATATTCTTCAAAAATAGAACCGAATGAAGTGAATGAAATCGTTCAACACGTACCAGAGACAACTGAGCGATTACCTGTCAAAACTCCGAACATACCAAAGAGAAATCCTTTCGATATAGAAACAAAAACACCGGAGATACAAATTGAAGGTTTTGTAAAACCAACACCGCCTAATACTTTGTTATTATCACAGAAATTATCTCATAGTTCTAGTGATATTAATTACGAAGATGATCAGACCTCACAGGAGGTCTACGTGAGGTCAAACTCACAGCACGAGATCACTTTGAATATAGCTCAGTCTCATAGCGAATCAGCTCTAAGACAACTCAAGAATATAGCCAGTCCGATGTCAAGTGCTACCAGAGAAATGGTGTTATCACCACTCTCGAAGCTCGCTAAAGGGGTCCAAACATTAGGCGCCAATTTGGACCCGAGGAAAATTAAGGTCGGTACAAATTTTAACTTCATAACTTCTATGTTACTATGAATTTCTATAAATTTGGTATGAATTTTCGCTATTTAAAAAAAGGGTCTTGACAGACAGACGAACGGACAACATAGTGATCCTATAAGGGTTCTGTTTTTTTCCTAAGAGGTACGGTACCCTAAAAAGAACAAAAGAAGCATGTATGGACTGTGTGAAAGAGTGTAAGACGGCGGTAGATTCAGATATGACAGCTGATAGAGATGTATGGAGGAGTAGTACATACTGTGCCGACCCTCAATAGGTATAAGGGCAGGTTGATGATGTATGAATTTTTGCTATTTTAATTTCTAGATTTATAATTTTACCTAATAAGTGATTCTATTGTCTTCTTGCTTTTGACGTTAAATCTGTCCGACTGACATTTGTCAAAGTATTAGTATTGCCAGTCGAAAATATATTTTTGAAAAAAATAATACCCTTCGTATTTCAAACTATTTTATTTGTAATCTATGTTTATTTTTAAATATTTCCAGGCATCGGGTTCTGTTAAACAAATATCGGAACAACAATACGAAGAGCACAAGAAACTCCAAGAGAAATGGCACGGCTGCAACACGCGGCTCATTGCGTTGTAATGTTGGCAGTATTGAGTGTTGCTAGGTGAAAATATTTATTTATTACTAAAATATTACTTAAAGGAATTGTTAGCTTGTAGTTTATACCGATGGTTAAGTTGACAAATGTTATTTTAATTTTATTTTGACATTGACATTAGATTAGTTTTATTTATTGACATTCGTACGCATTTCGAATAATTTAGGAAGTATTAGATTGAAAATAGACAATACCATAGATTTATTAAGACATTTAGTTCTCTTAATTTTTTAATTCCCGCCTTTTCAAGATGGCGTCATAAGTTTAAAATTATAAGCCATAGTGCATGACATGGCAACATATAAATAATTCTATTGGCACAAATATTTCTTAAATCAGCTTCAGTTTTCGGATTATTTGTAAAAAAATTAAGGTTTTTTCTGTAACTAAGTATGTTTGAATACAGTATTATAGAAATATCCTTAGTTAGTTTGTATTCATGGTAAAGTAATTTAAAATGGTCTAACTTTTAGTAAGTTATTGCCACATCTAGAATTAATTATTCTAAAAAACACTATTTATCTTTATAATAATACTAGTGTCAAAAGTACACAGATTGCTTTGAGAATTATTCGTGTTCACTTCTGCGGGGGCATTGCCGTGTCCCCAGATAGCTTATATATAAGAAACCATCTCACATAATTCGAAATCATAACCACCTTATTTACAGTATTAAAAATTATAATCAACGTTACCAATATACATAATTCTAGAAAAAATTATTCAATGCATAAATATTAATATATAATCTGCTTATGAAAAAACTATTAAAACCACTATGTATCCGTAATTTTTTTTCTCAGTAATGTAGTTGAAATTTCTTTACTCAGATTTTCTAGTAAATTAGGTCATTAGGTAAGACAATTTATGATTGAATTTTATATTAAAACTATAGATTTATAGAACCATCATCTTTGTAATGTTCAAAATGGCTATAACTTTAAATATTTCATACAATCTGACGTATATATCATATATTTAAAAGTGTTTCTTTATAAAAGCACTATTCATATATACTTACTTGCGCTAAAGTATGAACTTAGTATTCATTTTAGTATTAAAGTAATACACTTAGTATTGTTAGGAAGAAAATCCGAAAATGTGGCAGTGTATAGAATCAACACTAGCCTCACTAAAATGTCGACGTTTAAATCCCCTCACTATTCATTCTGACACTGGACTATGTAACGAAAGCATTCGCGCAACAGGATTCTAACTAATAATGCCTAAAAGTATTTACAATAATTGAAAATTAGCTTTTAGTATATATTTCTATTTAAATTTTGTGTAAGCGAAATCGTAGAAAAATAGATTAAAGTTGAGACCTGTCAATTTGACATTACCGCCAAATTATAGTTAAGCACCATTGCCTCGTTATAACCGTTATTAGCCGTTTACCGTTAACTCTTTATTCGATTAAATATTTATTCGCTAAATAAACGAGTACAAAGAAATAGTTATCTTTATAGAATCGCTTTTATATTAATCAATATTCATTTGTAAAAAAAACTCCTATAATATATTTATAGATATACGTAAAATGTTCAATGCAAATTTTAGAATATTTCATCATATTTTTTCTAAAACATTTGATAGAAAACCTATATTTAACATCCCATGTCTAAATTACTGCAAACTGACTTGGAATAACCTAAAATATTTTTACTATCCTATACCTACAACGAAATTTTGATTTAACTCTACAAAAGCTTTATAATCGTATTAAAAATATACCCCTTTATAACTATTACATTATATAACATTAATAAATACCACTTAAATAAAAAAATAAGACTTTTTAATAGTAAAGCAAAAAGACAAAGATGTAATTTGCTTAAATAAGACCCTTTACTAATTTCAAATGTCGAACTTACATACGAAGATGCTATCTCTGTTTTATTCAAGGACAATGTAAGGGATGGCAATAGTTATACAGTTGGTATGACATTGGACCTACCTCTATAAATGGACTGGCTACAAGGCGTAATATTTTGTGCCTATTTAATTTTTGCCATTTTGGCGCTGGTGGTAGCGGTTTGTAAAGTGGTGTGGATACGTACTAATAATATAGACTGTCACATAACATCAGGTACTAAGCAAAAGCTATCATTTCCAAGCAATCGCCTGTCCATTTATAGAGATGAGTGGATAAGATATATCTTGGTTCGTAATATTTGTTGTTACTGTAGGAATTTGACGTTATTGTGCTATTTGTAATGTATGTGCATTGATGTTAATTTTATAGTGAATAGATAATAAACCTATCGCTTAGGTTATTTACTTAGATAAAGGCTAAAGGTCATTCGTCTACTCGTCAACCTGGAACCGAACCGGCGATTGGTACAAATGTATTTTATTAGCAAAATGATTCATCATTTTTCTATAGGTTGACGAATGCGCGTTAATCTTATATGTTTTACAACTGAGATATTGATATTACAAGATATGAAGTATGCGGAGGAAACAAGGATGCGCAACTCCAGTTCTATTATCAAGTACAGTCAAAGGATTCAATTCGCTTTTAGAATCGTAAAGCAAAGTATCATCATGAGAGCTATAAAATGGAAAAGACATGTCGTTGACTGTACAGTCAGCGTCATATAGATCGTCACAGACAAGATATGCAAATATATAGGTACATCAAAAGTAATCAATTATATCGGTACAACAAAAGTCCTCAAAATAATAGATACATTCACCCTGCTCAAAAACATCGGTACATACACAGCGTCAAATATATGAGTACATGCAAGATGCTCATAAATATCGTAGCAGCCACAGCGTCATAAGTAACGAAGCAGTCAAGGTGCGCAAAAATATCGGTACATTTGACAAAATTGAACTCTATCTCTATATACTTGTGATACAATTTGGAATAAACTACTTCTGTTACATTCATTTGACACTTTGCATCAAACCATTTTTCAAAATTTACTAAAAGTGTTCGACGCGGATGACAGATATTAGGTAGATAAAACCAACATCAAATTTAAGTTTGTCATCATATATGCTAGTTTGGTCTCGTGGCCTTACCGTTCGCCGCCGTTGGTACGTAAGGTCGGCGGTTCAAATCCCAAGCCACTATTTTTTTTTTATATTTAAACTTTTTAATTTTAATATCGAAGCACTTGTAATTCAACTTTATCGCCGTAGTTATTAGGTACTTTTTGATATTGCTTTGGACTAATGAGTTTGACCGTTAAAGTACTTTTCTATTTCAAACAAAAATGAAGGAGATAAAGCGATGCTATTGGCATGTAATTTGTTTATTACTCATGTTTGTTAAACTTGTACCGGTAAAAATAACACTTTTACCTTTACCTTTTACTGATACTGATTATATTTAAGAAAGAAAGAAAAAAACTGAATGTCAATATCCAAACTACATCAAATTTTTGGTCGATTGCAATAAACATTCCAGTGTGCGTGGGCGCGCACACATATGTAGATAACACTTGTACGTATAGTTTCCGCGCGTACCATTCTTAAAACCCGCAAAGACAATCCACGCTCCGCCCACTCACTTCACCCGCGATGGTCTGACCTAATTGTTGTTAACGTTATTTAAATTTCTTTCTACCCGACAGCGTAAATTATAAAAAAAAATTGTCGAGCAAAATTTTACATTACCAAATTTTTACTGGTTATGAAAAAATAACCCCGTGATTGATAAAATGAAAAAAAAAGTAGCCTGAGATTCGAACCGGTATACTTACATATTACGGCAAACATACTAGAATACTGCGCCAAACTTGTATATATTGTGACAAGGCACAATTTGATATTAGTTATTACGTATCTGTCATTTTCGGCGTGACAAACTTTTATATTGAAGCGTTATGACAGGAGAAGAAAAATATTGGGTTGCCCAGTAAGTTCGTGCCGCTTTATAAGAAAAATTGAAACCCTGTTCTCTTAAATTTTTGAAAATGTTTTTAAATTATATTGGTACGACTCTATACCTAAAACGTCTTTTATTATTGGATAAAATTTTAAAAATTAGTTTTTATCTCAACCAATGAAATGAAATTATTCACAATATAGAAATTTTCGTGACGTTTGATAATGGTGGAAATCCGAAAATGAATCCACTTCAGCTAGTCTATTGTAAGCTTCCTATCGAAAATCAGAACGAACTTTCCGGACAACCTATAATGTTAATACAAAGTGTCAAACGAATGTAACAGAAGTAGTTTATTCCAAATTGTATCACAAGTATATAGAGATAGAGTTCAATTTTGTCAAATGTACCGATATTTTTGCGCACCTTGACTGCTTCGTTACTTATGACGCTGTGGCTGCTACGATATTTATGAGCATCTTGCATGTACTCATATATTTGACGCTGTGTATGTACCGATGTTTTTGAGCAGGGTGAATGTATCTATTATTTTGAGGACTTTTGTTGTACCGATATAATTGATTACTTTTGATGTACCTATATATTTGCATATCTTGTCTGTGACGATCTATATGACGCTGACTGTACATAAAAATTCCAGTTGTAAATCAATAAAATAAAACGAAATAGCTTGCTAGATGTGACAGTATTATAATAGGTCTGCAGTTAATATGGGTAATAGTAAATATGTCACGCAGTAGCCAAATTTAAGTAACATTATATTATTAAGCTTTTTTTCTCTGAAGTTGTATTAAATGGCATAAAAACTAAAAGTAATTTGACAGAAATGTTCTCTCTCTGTCATACATAACTTCAGTAGACACACATCTCGCTCTAACAAGTATTTGGGAGCCAATTTCAGATATGCCCAGTTTACATTATTCCAGTGAGTGTTTACATTCTAGTTGTAATCCAGTGCTGGACTATAACTGGACTGGAATAATTTAAACTGGGTAATTGACAATTACAATGCAACGACAAATTTTAGCTAATTTATTATTCCATTTTGAATTATTCGTATTTTTTTTTAATTGTCTCTGAAATGTTTAATACTCTACTAATTATATTGTCATGTGTTTTTTTGGTATAAAAATGTTCGTATTTATCAAAATTTGATGTTAAAATTAATGTTGTAATTGATAAAATAATCGTGTTTTCTTTTACGGTATTTTATTAATTGTTTATATAAATTTACAGTATTTTTGTGACAATATTTTCTTATCAATTTAAAATTTTAAAAGTTACTTTGTTCCTATTTTAGTTATGAAGAACTTAGTTCGGTTTTTATCTTCCACCAAAGAGATATTTTCCTTAAATAACTGTGAATTTTTTATGCCTGACATAAGATATATAATTTTTAACATGAAATACACTATTTAAGCCAAGTACTTTGAGTATGTCCTAATATTCAGTTATTTTCGTCTTATACATGAATTCACCCAATGTATACTGAATAAAATGCTTTTGAACTTTCTATTAAGTATATATTACATGGCCTTTTATGTCTGTATCAGTTATGAATATTTAAATTGTAACTGTAATTATTCCCTGTTGTAGGTCATTAACCGTGGGTTTCCGAGACCAAAATATCTGTGACATATAGTCTTCCCTGTCATTAACTTTGACAAAACAGATATAATCTTACTAATATTATAAATGCAAATATTTAGATGAGTGGATGTTTGTTTAAAGGTATGTCTAAAATGACTCAACAGATCTCACTGAAATTTGGCATAGATGTAGAACATAGTCGCGGGCGACAGTAAGTATGTTTTAAATGGGTATTTTGGTCTCGGAAACTCACTATAACATTGAAACTTGTGTGTACTAATTCCTTGTTTGACAAGGATTTGACATTTATTATATGGTGTTTGTCTGTTTTTATAACATTTAAGTATTTACCGAAGGTTTACTTCATTCTTTCCAGTTTTGTGTCTGTGATTGATTTAATTTTTATTTTTAAGTTATTTATATATATATGAGAATAAATTGCTTTCAATATAGTAAATATGTGTTTGACTTATACTGTAGGCTAACAATGAAAATTTATGTTTTTAGAGTTCGGTACCTTGAAAGGAAAAAAACGGTACCCTAATAGGATCACTTTGTTGTCTGTTCATCTGTCTGTCAAGACCTTTGTTTTGTTTATTTATCTATCCAACAAATGAAATATGTGACTGCAATGTATGGGTTTAAATATCTTTGAAAAATATAATTTTGAAAATATAACGAAATACAAATAAGAATTGAGATGTGTTTATAATTTTTTTTTACAGCTAATAAATAGTACATAATTTATATAAATAAATTTTACATAACTATGTTTTGAGACAAATTTTAATAAGATTTTGGAAGATGCTCACCTGACTAAGGATAGTAGATTATAATAATAAGTGATAAATTTACTTTTCTGAACACAACTTGCACAGAATAAACTTGTCTAGAATATGTTCATATTTATAAAAGCATATTTTTATGTTCACATTTTAATCTCTCAGACATTTTGTATTAACTATTTTTATGCTTCAGTTAATATTTCAACATTGTTTCAGCCGTCAGGACTGCGCCAAATGGTTCATGACCTCTGTCTATCCCTTTTGGTTATGGGCTTGAGTTATGTTGATTCAGCCATCTTCTTGATGTTTCTGTTCCGCTTCTAAATATGAAGGCATTCTGCCAAACAAGAACTTTTCTCTTTTATGTACATGACGTTGATGTTTCATCATAGCATTTCTATAACCAAAGGCCTTCCCACACATATTGCAAACATGATTTTTTATACCCAAATGATCAGCCTCATAATGTCTTTGTAACATCTGTTCGGTGTGGAAGGCTCTTTTACAAGCATTGCATTTGAATTGAGGCTCTTTATGTTTTAACATATGACTGTTTAAGTTACTCTTAAATAAAAATCTAGCGGGACATTCTGTACACATATATCTGTAGTCCCCTGTATGGGTTCTCATGTGTGTTTTCAGTAGCTCAGCGTATCTGCCTCTATATGGACAGAATTGACATTTGAAAGGGAAATCATCTCTATGACGTAGACTGTGATTGTGATATGCACATCTCAATCTGAATGATTTCCCACAAACATCACAAACATATTTAAGATGGTTCGGATCATGCATTGTTAGATGCTCTTTGAAATATGATCTATTTACAACTTTGTTACAAATGTGACATGTTACTTTTGTTGCTTGCTTCAATTTTTTAGTGCTTTTATCTTGTATGTCATTTTCAGGGGACCAATCTTGTTTAGAGTCGTAATTATAACAGTCAGTGTAATTTTGAGTTGAATTATCTGTTTCTATTTGATCTTGGTTTTGATTTAATATTATCTCCTCTTTAACTGGAAGATTATAAACTTCTGCCGATTTCTTAGCCGTTTTTCTAAATAAAATAGCGCCTTGAAGAAAATTGTAACAAAAACGACATAAATGTTTAGAAAATTCATCATTTTCTGTGACTTCAAAACCTGCGAATATGCTTATAGCTTCCAAAATCTCTGACGAATCTTCATTTTCATAAATTGATATTATTCCTTGTTGTAAACATATTCTACAGCAATCATAATCTGTGTTTTTCTTCACCGGCGACTCGTTTATTTTGCTATAGTAACTAATGGCGTCGAATTTATTTTGCGACATTTTCATTATGTAATATGAAGTCACCATGGTAAAGCGATTTTTAAATTATTTGATACACAAAACAATAACTTTTAAAATCAACGTAAACTAGTAAACTTTCATCATTGATAACGAATTCGTGAATACAAATGTCAAACTCATATTAGAATTAAAATATTTAGGGATGTAGTCTGTGCTGTCAACATGCAAGATGATGTATCGAAATAATTTGAATCGATTCGACCAAAAAAAAAATTTGATAATTGTTATTCTATAAAATTTGCTCTTGGATACTGTATCAATTTCACTGATACTATGGATTGGAAACTTGCTTCCTATCCTGCTTGATTTACAGGTACTTTTAGTAAATTTCTTATATACCATCACACAAACTAAATTCTATAATTCAATAAGGTGCACTGCGATTCTGTGTAATAATAGATTAATGGAAAGAAATAAAACAATTTTTGTTAAACATTAAAATTGTGTAATATATTTGCTATAAATAATCATTGGACTAGAATAGGTTAATACTTTGGTTAAAACCTTAATAAAATATTTGGTACTAATATATTTGGAGTACATTTAAAATTGAATATAAACACTCGAAAAACTCTAAGGTTGAGGATTCTAATTCACAATGGAAGATTTTTTGTTACATTTAATTGTATATGTTTGTACATAAAGGCCACATTATCACTGACAATATATTTTCATTGCCAAAATGCTTGTACAAAATCATTCCATTCGTTCAATTTCAAAAATAGAGGTAACAAAAGTTTTGTACAACTGTTTTGGCAGTGGAAACTCACAGGTATGGGTTAAAACTATCGGATTAAATTATATGTATAAATGTGTGTAAATCTCAATAACTATATTGGCAAGTCATGGCTCAAAACAATGACTATAAGTATCAGAAGACGAGCTGTAAGTCAGCAGGCAAGTAGTAGAGCTGCCAATCATGTACTTGCAGCTAGTGGCTCATTATAACAGAGCCTACACTTATGTCTCATATTGCCTAGTGACTCACACCATGGAGTTTGAAATGCAAACCAATCTCTATGGGTACAAATTGAGGTAGCTGCGAGCCGGTCCACTGATCTGCATTACATTTGAACCATGAGCTGAACTGCAGATCATCAATTTTAGTTAAATTACTCATGACTGTGTAATCTCAAATAATTGTAATCTCTAAGCATAAATATTGCACATATTATGAGACGATTATTTAATTTTTGGCATTATTGGCATATTATATTATAAAATATTGCACATAGGTAATAACATCATGTACAAAAGTCTCAAACATATATTGCTGTGCGTCTTAATATCTAATAAAACATGTCTCGAAAAAGTTGGTGGAACAACTTTTTCTAAATATGTTTTTATTGTTAACACATAAGGTTAGCTTTGAATTGTGCTGAGTAATACAAAATTAACTAGAACTATGGTTCCTTTTTCAAAATTTTAAAAACTCTGATATAATAAATGTAACATCACACAACACACAATATTTAAGTACAAGATATAAATATTCTTCCTTTACCTTTACTTTTAAATAAATTAGTCAATGTAAAACTTTTAAATATATAAATTAGTCATACGATGGACCGCGGCACATTGTGACAATAAACATGGATGCAAATATGTACTCCAAGACTTGAATTGTAAGCATTAATGTGCACCAAATGTATTCAATCCTGAGGATTACGACTTGTTTCACCAACAAGTATAGAACGCAAACCATTGATGGCACCGTCAGAACAACTGAGAACATTACCGGTATATCTGAAACAAGGGCAGTTAATTTAACCAATACATCTCTGACTATTGTAGAATCGGGATGGTGTGTGGAAGGCTTACTCTTTCTTCCCAACGTTTTATAATAAGGATGGAAAGGGGAACAACCTGTTTCTGTACATTCTCTTCTCTGTCCTACAAAGAAAGTCAAAACATCTAAAGCAGTATTCTAACTTAGTCATTCTCGCATTCCACTATTATGGCAAATTCAAGCAACCTCTCGCTACTTTGAGTATGTGAGCCCAAGACATGACTAATTGGATGGCGCTTGACTATATATTAGAATTTCTTAAAATATATTGCAGTCCTTACCTCGTTCACTAAGACTACCTTTCCGTCCAAGTATAAGTCTGGCTCCTTCTATGATAAACAGTCCCATTAAAACACCGTAATCCTGTCCGACAGTAACCCAATAACTATCGCTATTGTGCTTATTTCCGATCAATATAGATTTCAATATAAGTGTACCCAATTCGCATGTAGCAAAAAGTCCAAAATAAAATGAATTTATATATAAAAGTATTTCGTATGCTAAACTTGAGTTCACCATCGCGCTTTTTTAATTAATCGATTAAATATCTTTTCACCTTAATTGATAATTAAGCAATTAAAATGAAACCAAGTGTATTCTTAAACACTATTCACTATTTTTAAAAATAGAATACGAAGAAGACTATCGGCAGAATCGGGCAAATATTTATTAAATGACATTGACAACCAATATGATGTTACTATAAAAAAACTATCAAAATGAGATGCGCAATTTGAGTAGTTCCTAAAACAAAAGCTTTTATTTTATTTACTCAATGTTATGAATATCTATCTCATAAGAAAACATATTTTTTTAATAATTTTTAAAGTAAATATGAACCACAAAAATGTATCTTGTATTGTTTCAGCATGTGACAACACTAACGTGGACTTCTATTGCCGACCATACCAAACAATGGCATTACTTTTATCTCTTTTTTTTTTAAAGGAAAAGAGAGAGATAAGAATATGTTTTTGTTTGCTGATTATCCAGCGGAACCCCACGGCGAGGTTCAACGAATGGCAGAATGAACGACCGAATAGGAGCGAACAATTTTTTTAGGCGATGTAGATACCTAACCCTACCTAACTATAACTAATCTGACTGATTTACTGACCGACAGACGCGAGCGTGGGTAGACGTCTTCCATGCTGGATACGTTTGCGACCTGTGATTTTTTAATGAATTAAAGTTATAATACATTATAAATAAATACAGTTGTTCAGTTATTTAGTGCTACTATATATAGTGTTGGCTGAATATGTTGTGGTAAGTGTTATGTTGCAGAAAATGTCACGGACCACGCGCTATTAGAACACGTTTTGATCTTTCTAATAAGATATAAAACTTTTTTATCAATATTATTATTTATGACATTTAAGAACGTTATGTATATCTACATAGTTTATAAATAAGTTGGTTTAGTGTTAAAGATATACGTATTTGAATTGCTAATGTGTTTCGGTTTACTGTATTGGCGTGGTCATATGCCATCAACAACTTGTACGGGTAGATTTTTTACAGAAATGTTCTACTAAAGCCACAATGAACAAGATAAAGTAATGGGATTTCATAACTGCAGTATTGGCACATGTTTGCGCGAGGAATCTGTAAAAATAAATCTATTAAGTCTGTGTAAAATGTATTAGGAATATGAGAACAAGTTACTAAATACATTTCATATATTATAAGAAATGTTAATTATAATAAAAAGATTCGTAAAGAAATAAAATTTATATTATTTTACAATTTTGAGGCGAAATTAATTTCATATTTATCGTCAATTATTTTTGGTGGGTAAATGTTATAAAAATAAATATTGTGACTCTTGAAATACGCACTAAATGTGCATTTTAAAACAATATTACGCATTACAAATTCGTCATTGTTTACAATGAAACATATCCGTATCCGGTCCAGTTATTTGGCTTAATTTTAATTACGTTCCGTTCCTAAAAAATATTTGTTAAGTTTTGTCACTAAAGGGACAATCAATAGTCACCAATAATGCAACAAATCTTTCGTTATTTTTTCGTGTCGATTTGTGTCGACGAAACATTTGATTCACAATAGTGTGTTTATTCACAAGGTATTTTACTTTTCTATAAACTTATGCAGCTTATACCCTAAATGTTAAGGAACAGTACAAAGGTAAACGATCCATTGATAAAGATAAAGACAACGTGTATTTTTAAAAAGTATCGTGTGATTTTAGTGCATGGATTGAAATTTTTAAGGTATAAATCTACAGAGGCACACATAAGATAGTGTACACAGTAGTCAGGTTCATAAAAAGATAAGATAATTTGAGATTCTTTAACAAAGTGCATATGTAACCGTATCCTAATAGACACATGTAAACAATTCTTATCTGTGGGTTTTCCGTGCTTAGTTTAGTACATATTGTTCTATTTACAATGAATGTTTAGTTTATCAGTAGCTAAGCAATCCTCGTTGTTGTGTATATTATATTATAGTAGCTATTGTTTTTCGTTTACGAATTCAAGTCAAAGAATTTAATTTGCTACCCATTGAGAATTTAATATAGTATATCAAACTGTCACCATAATAACTACGAAAGAAAGGCGACTAATTCGTTTCTGTATTTAATTTTTAATCGATAGTAAATTATTTCTATAATTTACTCATTAATGCAATACTGGCTGTCGCCCGTGACCTGACCGTGTTGAATTAAAAAAAAAAATAGTAGCCTATGTTCTACATCTATGCCAAATTTCAGCGAGATCCATGCGGCCGTTCTGGTGATACCTTCAAAATCCAACCAAACATTCGCATTTATAATATTAGTAATTAGTAAGATAGAATGGAAAATATCTCGCTAAAATACACTTGGCATAGAATTTTTAAAAAGACACTGTTCTATTTTTTTAAAAAAAAAAGGACAGTTTATTCAAGTGATGAACGCCCGCTCGGCGTAATAATGTCGCATTGTTTGAAACTTTTTTTTATCTTACACCTTTGAGAAAGTAGACTTTAGAAACTTAATAGGTTGTCGCACCCGACCTATTTGCACGTCTGCCTCTTTTTAGTCTTGCATAGATAATATACAAAAAGATCCTTGTATAATAAGAAACGACTGCATGAAAGCAGATTTTTTTTTAGTTTTCTACAAACAGAAGTAAAATAATTAATTGCCTAAAGATTAATCTTAAAAACCGTCCATTCTAAAGTCCCTACGATAAATGGTTCATTAATAGACACATAAGAAGTTACAATTTGAAGTTTTAAAACGACCCTGACCGTTAGTTTCTAAGATGCAAATCTTTGTATGAAACATATCGTCAACCCTGTCATTATCATTGACAAACTTCCTGCCTCGCACATCAGCGTTGTGTTTGGTCTGTCGTTGGCGGTATTTCCAAACCGCTACGACTTAGGGTCCTTCAAGAAGCGAGCTTATCACCATCTCAAAGGCCGGCAACACATCTGCGGTTCCTCTGGTATTGCTGATGTCCATGGGCGTCGTTGAACACCTCGGTGTTCCCGCTGCTCGTTTGCCCCCTTTTGTTATAAAAAAAAACAGAAATAACTATACGTTTCAAAACGGGATTGTCGCCTCAGAAACCCAATGTTAATGACCTACAAACGGGAACTATCTCATTGCAACGTTAGAGTGACATGACAAAGGAAACCACACGTAAATTGAGTTCTTTGTTGTGTCATCAATGTATAGCGATGTCATAAAGAAAAGGGAATGGGGATTTTAAAATTATTTTTAAACAAAGACTAGCTGTCGCCCGCAACGCCGTCCGCGCGGTATTAAAAAACTTAACATTTAGGGGGATGAAAAATAGATATTGGCCGATTCTCAGACCTACTCAATATGCTCACAAAATTTCATGAGAATCGGTCAAGCCGTTTCGGAAGAGTATGGGAATGAAAATTGTGACACGAGAATTTTATATATAATATTCATGACTTGAAATAGAAAAAGAACATGACTTTAATCAAACAAATCTAACAAAGATTTTATTTAAGGAACTTTCCAATTAACCTTATGAAAATAAGCACTTCTGACTAAATTTATCATGTCCAAGAAACAAAGAAAGATAAACCTAGTATTCCTTTAAGAAAGGGGTAAAGTCCAGCTAAGTGAGTGCACTATCAGACATGAACTGAATCCGACCATATTTGGTCGATCTGCCCGAAACCGGTATAATGCGGTTTGCTCCGTCATTTCCGTTCGTACAGGAATTTTATTCACAAGTCCAGTGTCCCTAAACAAGTTCAATACTAAAAAATACGATAACTATAATACATTTTATTTAAAAAGGTAACCTTAATGCAATTACATTCGTATATTCGACTATAAGCTTTTAATTTTCGCAACAAAATCTGATGAAAATATAAATTACATTACTGGCCGCTAACAGAAATGACCTTTGTTTATGAAGTTTAGATTTAAATTAGGAATACTTAAAAAAAGACAGTGATTGCCAGTATCATTGTGTAAAAATTAATTTGTTAGTATTTTACCACTGGCCATTTATATACGTGATATTATTTTAAAAAGATATCGTATAAGAACATACAGGCACATATTAACGGCATTGTGTTCGTTTGTATTTAAACACGTGCAGTGTTGACAGATAAGTCTATTTGTATTCACAATATTATCTGTTTATAAAATAATACAAGCTTGTATGCAGGTTACATATTAATAAAGACATTATTTTGTTTAATCAATTTAAGTAATTATTGTGCAATTAACGGCCTTACAAGGCAATCTTTAATTATCGCAAATGGTAACTCTCACGCGACAGATAATAAATTATAACGTACATTCTCGCAATCTGAGCTGCGTTGGGTCAACTGTCAATTGATGATTCAATTGCATCTAGTACTGGCTGAATGCAATGTTATTAAATTATGACTATATTTTCATTACATTCAACGTTTTGCCGCCTTGTTTAAATATCGAATGTAGTTGTTATGGGAACACTTTTTTTTAATAATAATTGGCGTTAAGTGTCAAAGGGACGGTTTTTCTATTGTGCCTGCATCATTTAACTTCGTTCTAAATCTACGCTTATTTTGTGTTTTGTTATCTGTGATTTTAGGAAGATAATGAAAGGGATAATATGTTTTTTTATGACTTACATTAATTATTTGTAAGGAAAAATTTTTAGAAAATTTTACGGCTTATTAATATCAAACTAAGTAATAAAACATACCAATAAATAATGATAATAAAACGATAATTTTATGAATTATTTAAAAAGCGTTACTATGCGCGATAAGATATACCTAGAGCTCTATTGTGTTGTCAAGATAAATTTGCACTTTTAAAGGTCACGAGCAAATTACATCAGAAACTTACATTCTTGATATGTCTTGCTAGACGACGACGCCGTCTGGGTGGAATTAAAAAAGTTTAATAAATGGCCTATATGTTCTTCCAGACTATGTTCAGCATCTGTGCTAAATTTCATCATGATTCGTTGAGCCTTTTCAGAGATACCTTGTAACAAACATCCATCTAAACTTTCGCATTTATGTTATATACTACTCAAAATAAAATACGGGCCACTCGTTTATTTACATTTAAATGCACTTTAATAAACTGAAAGTAACTTATTAGTAGCATTATATTGGTATTACGAACTCTTTGGTGTTTGAACTCTTTCATGATGGTGTTCCTATTCTTAATTTGAAAAGTATTAAGTATTAGTTACATTTATGTTTTGTATTAGGTTTCAAAAACGTCTTTGTATGTTTACATACATAACAGTGCCTAAATACTTCTGGTATCCTGGTACCATTACGACAAATTTAAGTTCTCACTTCCTTCTTTTTAATCGTAATTTTCATTTATATTATCGTTATCTCAATCTTTTCAAAGAGAATGACAAGGATGGCAATACCTTAGTGTTTTTCTTTCTGCTGGCATATAAAATTGGTCTCTTTTCATCCACAGATATTCGACGTGGCCTTACACTATCGTTGGCATGTCATCGGTGTGCCAGTAAATCGCAATGGAAATGACTCATCAAGGCGGGGCGGAGGCCGAGAGCCTCCTGCGTCCCGACCAAAGGAGCGGCGTCGTCATGCCGCAGGGACGATCTGGACGTAAGTTTTGTTTAATTTTTTAATCTATAAAAAGCATGACTTATCATGACAGTCTAGTGAAGTGGCGCCTTAAATGTAGACAACGGATTATTCCGACGTATTCGGGGCTAGAAAAAGTGCATTCGCTATGAAGCGATTCCATATCGACCTGTATAGAAAATAACTTTCGATAAGTCACGTGATTGTCGCGTCTCAGTTTGATCTATATTTGAGATTCTCCTATACTTTGGCTAGATTTTATGGCCGCTTACTCGTTTGCCACTTAATATTAAACAAAACGACTACGACCAGAATTAATTATAATAATTTACGCTTATAGTAATTAACTTAACAATATCATTGCTGTAATATAAAATATACAATATTTAGTGAAGTGTAAAAACATCGCGTTATCGGATTTCATAAGCCGGGGACATAATGGCCTCATCGATTGCATAACCTTGACGCATTTTGATTTGCTTATCTGTGCACAAGCCAGACACCGGTATCACAGAATAAGTTTTATTTATTCCTTACTAGATGCCCACGACTTCGCTTGGATTGATAGACATAAAATTTCAGTCTGTTAGTGATAATCATCTCCTCAGAAAAGAACTTTAGCTTAGCGCCCTGGGCGACAACTTTACGGACGGGATCCTCTCGGGTGGAGGGGGGAGGTTACAGGGTCACGTGACATTGTGTAATTCGCAGACTAGTGCCTCTAGACAAAATCATTCGATAAGCGATTTAGTTAATCGAAAAGTCAATGATGTATGGAAGCGACAATAACTTTAAATATGTCACGTATTTTTCCTATATATTTTGACTTTTTCGTCGATTCTAGTAGCGATAACGATAGTCAAATGTTACATTGTGTAGCTCCCCAGTAGCGTCCCTTTACGTTCAGTACCCTGGGCGGCTGCCCTACCTCACCGTACTCTAACGCCGGCCCTGTATCTACTTTCTCTCTTGATGTGCAAGCATTTAATAATGCAAGCATTAATAAACTTATATGGTACGAGAGGCGCTGCTGTCAGTGCTCTCAGAAAATATATAAAATTTATTTAGACAAAAAAAAACATGACAAGTAAACTACAGTACGAGAAGCATCGTTTGACAAGTTTATGGCAAATAATAGGCGGCGCTAGTGAGCTTCCATAAATAAGTTTCAATTATGACCACCGGGTCAGATAACTTTGTTGATCTATATGTGTCTTAATTATTCAATTTCCACGAACAATATACTTCTAAGTAGACATAATTTTTGAGGTTATGTACAAAGTTTATAAAGAAACTTTCTATTATCTAACCGTGTCGTATTAACAATTGTATTTGGCTTCTATTGACAATAAGCCACTGTTCGTAACAATTTCGGTGAAAGTGTATTTTAGTGTGATGAAGCATGACAGCATTCACAAATTTCACACGTAATTTTAAACATCATCAGCCTATATTCGTCCAATGTTGGACATAGTCCTCTCCCTTTTTATTAATAATATCTTTAAACACCCATCCATCCATCCATTCAAATCACATCCATCTAAACATTCGCATTTATAATATTAGTAAGTTAAATAAAAAGCAGCTCTTCGAGGTATAAATTAAAAAAAAATGAATAAATAATATCCTATGTCCGTCTCCTGGCTCTAAGCTACCTTCTCACCAATTTTCAGGCATATCGGTAAAGCTGTTCTTGAATTATAAATAGTGTAACTAACACGACTTTCTTTTATATATATAGATAGATTTTAAAGTACGCAGACATCCATCTTTTATGACCGAGCATTTCAATGCAAAATTTTTTACACAAAACTAATAAGATTTTTAAAAATAATTCCACGTTAATATCGAGCCGCTAATACAAATTAAAAAAAAACTATTCTACGTAAAAAAATCTAAATGTAAGTACAGACAGCAAAATGTTAGATGTAAAAAAATGAATTACAAAATTAGAGCAAAACGGTTCATTACCGTAGTACGTACGGTGAGCAAAGTATGTCGGTCATAATGAAGGTACTAGATATTGGAGTGCCCCATTAGCCCCGGGGGCGTGTGATGCGTTGCCCGACATCCTTTTAAACGTTGAGAGTTGAATTAATTAAATAAATTAAATCAAAAAGGGATAGCTTTTATAAAGACGTTTTGTAATTACTTTTGTCTATTTTGGTTTATAAACGTAACTGGATTAAAAAAATATATCGAAACCGATTCTCATATTACCGAATAAGCATATTCTATACTAGCTGTCGGCCGTGACTCTGTCCGCGCGGAATTAAAAAAAATCTATTGGTCGCAGTGTAATGTTATATAGCAACGGTCACTTCGCTATTAAAAGCCTACCTTTATAAATGGACTATCCAACAAAAAAATAATTTTTCAAATAGAACCAGTAGTTCCTGAGATTAGCGCGTTTAAACAAACAAACAAACTCTTCCGCTTTATAATATTAGTATAGATTATAATAATCTGTCAAGCCGTTTCTAAGGAATATGGTAACTAACATTGTGACACGAATTTTATATACGAGACTAGTTGTCGTCCGCGACTCAGTCCACTTGGTATTAAAAACATAATCAGTAGCATATGTGTTCTTCCAGACTCTACTCTCTACATGTATGCCAAATTACAACACCCATGCAGTCGTACTGGAGATACCTTGTTACAAACATCCATCCATCCAAACATTCGCATTTATATTAGTAACGATTATTATATTTTTTATATCATAAGATGGCAAACGAGCGAGCGGCCACCTGAAATCGCTGAAATAGCGAAGTGACCATTGCCCATAGACATACGCAATTGCATATGCGTTGCCTACCTTTAATCGACGGAGGAGAGGATGCACAGAAAGAAAATATTTTCATGCATCCTTCATCCGAAAGGTCCATTTCCACTTCCCATCCTTTCCTTTTAAGAAAAAGAGTGGGAAGGGAAATAGGACTAAATTACGCACACTCATCAGACTGTACGCGGAATTGCTTCCACTTGAAGCGTGTCTTCTGTGTGGTCGTGGTATTTCACCGGGCGAGCCGGGATAATTCGTGCGAAGATGTTAAAGCGGGCTCTACCACTGTTGATACAACTCTATTATTACAACTTATCATCTGAACAATTTTATTTAATCTGCATAATATCGTTAATAATTCTTGCTAGTCGTATGAATGCCTAAATTATCCACTAATAGACTCTACATTTCTTCAATTCTTTTGGAATAAATTTAGGTTGGTAAAGAAACGATTTCTGTCCTTAACAATCACGCGACCTTTTAGTTATCTTTTAGACAAATTGTCCATGTTACTGATGACCCAGTTATCTATATTTAGATATAACGAAATCTATTTATCATCTCCTATGCGAAGTTAATTCTAATTATCACGAACCTAGCTCTCGTTGCGACTCCGTACGCAATAAATAAAAAAAAACTTATTTATGCCTTGATTTAAATTGTATTTTTATTTAAAAAGTTGGCACTACTGTTAGAAAGAAATATTAATATAATAAATGCGAATTTTTGGATGTATGGATGGATGTTTCTTAGAAGGTATCTCCAATACGGCTGAAAGCATCGCGCTGATTGTCGTAGATGTAGAACATAGTCTGGAAGAACACGTACACTTATAATTTTTTTTAAATTCCGGGTAAATAGAGTCGTGGGCAACAGCTAGTTATATAATAATATTCAATGGATTGCATCGTTCAGATTATTTTCCAAAACAGATAATCGAAAATAACTTTAGCTTTAATATAAAATTGCCGACGAAGCAATGTCCTGATTCCGGGTCGCGTCCGACTCTGTGATACTAAATTGAATTATTTTAGGTCAACTATTTATTTACTGGGTCATGTTTGAAATGGATTTTAATTATGCAATAATGTAGTTACGTAATTTTAGTACATGTTTTAGACAATAGGGCATGAAAGAGATGACTATATGTCACAAACTTTCGTCAACTAAATGAAAAAACGATCAAACAATTAATTTGTATAGGACTACTAGCGGACCCGATAGACGTTGTCCTGTCTACGCGTCTTTAATTTGAAAATTCGAATATTATTTAAAATTTGACACTGCGATGGTAGCGCCGTCTGTCGGATCCAATGTAAAACATTCCAAAATCAACAACTACTAATAAATTAAAAATTAATAAAAAAAAACATTGTCCAGCGGACAAAATTGTGAATCTAAACCATTCCCAGATCCCCTTGAACACATACAAAAAATTTCATCAAAATCGGTCCAGTCGTTTGAGAGAAGTTCAGTGACATACACACTCACAGAAGAATTATATATATAAAGATTAAATCTAAAATAATACGTAAACAAACTTTAATTTAATTTCTCCTGTCATGAATATTTCATCAAATCTTGCAAATTAAACATTCACTTTCCCGTTACCGATTGAGCTGTTACCAACGAACATTGGACTCGCGCGAACTTAAGAGCCGCCAAGATATTTGAAAACAATTATACATATTGTAATCAATAGAAGGCTAAATTTATATGCAATTGACTAATGAAAGTAAAAGCAATTGAATTATAAAACGATGCGGGCTGCGTGTTGTCATGATGTTTATATTTTGAGTTTACATTATCACGAAACAATGACATAAAACGAATCCGTCACTAGTACTTGTTTTTTTGGATATCAAATTTCTTATAAATTTTCTGGGACATTCTGAGCTCTATTGTTTTCGAGTTATATTACTAATATTATAAATATTAAAGTTAAGATAGACAGATGTGTGCTCCAAGATATCTACAAAACGGCGCCACAGACTTCGCTGAAATTTTGCATAGATGTAGAACATAGGGTACTTAAGTTGAATTCCGAGCGAACGGAGTCACGGGCAACAGCTAGTAAGTTATATACTTATACAAAGGGGTTCTTTATGTCCCCTTAAAAGCCATATATCATACTTGAGTAAGTTCCGACAAGTAATAAAAGGTAACTAGTTAGTTAATTCCTTGCGGATTGTTTGAATGGCAAACATATTAAGGCCGGTTTTATTTTTAGTAC